CCCATCGCCTTCATTATCATCCCTACATTGCATTTTCAATTTCATTGATTTCTTCATCTTTCGTTTCTTTTTCTTCTGAAGCACTGTTGATTCGCCGCGTTGACTGATTGTTCTTCATTTTCTTCCCTCAAATTGTATGGATTGAGTGTTCGTTTAGGTTTTGTTGATTCACATTTCTTGAAGGAATCGTTCTCCGTTTGATCGTCTAAGTTCTTCCACGGCGTTTCCATATCGAAGGTGAGTTTTTTTTTATGATTATATTGGTTCTTTTCGTTTTGGGGTTTGTTTTTTTTAGCGTTTTGATCTTTTTTTTTTTTGAATTTTTAGGGTTGGGTCTAGGGTTAGGGCGATGCGGATGGAAGCGTCCGGTGCAAATTCGGACGCTCAAAGAGGTATTTCATCAACGAGTAATAATATTGGTAGTAATTCTAGAAGGCATGGAGTACAATTGTCGGCTGCCAATTTATTTCGTTCTCCGTTGTCGACGTTGTTGGAATATTCTGGAATTTTAAGGACAAGATCAAGTCATACAGAATCGGATAGTTTGATAAATAGTCAATTTCAGCCTCGTGTGGATGATGCTGGGACATCTCCAGCTTCTCCGGGTGGCTCTGGGGAAGTTTCGATTAGGATTATTGGTGCTGGTGAGCAGGAACATGATAGAGTTGGGAATGTAGTGCCATCACCAGCTGTTGGTGGAACACTGAGGGAAGGGGATGGGGAAAATGAGGTTTTTGGGAGGACGGTTTCGAGGTCGGGGTCTGCAGCTTCAGTTGGAGCATTGGAGAGTCAATCGAGTGATAGAGGGGCGGGAGATGGAGTTACTCAACAGATGAATGGAAACACGGAGACAGGGACTACGGATGGTGCTGGTGTTAATAATAGGGAGTCTTCTTACCAAAGATATGATATACAGCAAGCTGCCAGGTGGATTGAGCAAATTATTCCATTCTCTTTGCTTTTGTTGATTGTTTTCATTCGGCAACATTTGCAAGGTATTCTCCGTGGTAACTAAGAGATTTTCACTTGAAACTGTCCATCATAGTTCTTGCTTGTACTTTTGACCGTTTCATGTACTTAACGATGCTTGCTTGGGTTTTCCGTTATTCTTTTGACTCTCAAGTAGCCAGAGCCTTTTCATTGCTATTGTGTTGCCACAATATTGTCTCTGCAGTTAATGCGGAAGAGGATCAGGTGTTTTTCTATGCATTTCACATTTGACAACATCGGAGTCATATGGTTTGCGGATTGAACTTTTGTACTTCACTAAGAAATGATACATGTATGGCCGTATGAATTATGAATACTTTATCCATTAGACTGCTACTTATCTTGGTTAGTTAATGCGACTTTCTAGTATTTTGGACCAATTTATGCCAACATGAGTTGTATTGTATTTATAATTTGTTTTAGTAGTGGTTGACTTCTTTGTTTTTTCTTTTACATTCAAGTGAAAATGACTATGCAATTCACTTCTCTCCCCTCTGTCCATCCTTGTCCTCTCATCTTGTGGTCCTTGTTTCCTTCCCTCCCTGTTTATTGGGGAGGGGGGTGGGGGATAGTGATGGTATCTACGTACTGTTTTTTTTTTCTTATTGAAAGTTATGATGGCTATAAATTTTCTTGTTTTGCTTGTTTGAGGGTTACTGTTCTTTACCATAATTTCCATAAGTTAGTATTTCTCAAGATTGCTCTTTGGTTTGTGCATGAACCCCACAGGTTTTTTTGTTACAATTTTGATTGCTGCTGTCATGTTCAAGTCAAATGATATTGTAAAGAAGCAGACTGCACTTAAGGTGATGTAAAATGCCCTCGCAACACCAATCCTCAACAAGGGAAGAGCAAAAAAGAATAGAAGGAGCTGATATGCTGATTACTCTTCCTGCCTTTTCTGCTTGATACTTTTCTCATACTAATAAGCAATGAAATTATTAATCTTCTTCTTCCTTGCAGGGTGAGAGGAAAATCTCTATTCTGATCGGCATATGTATTCTGTTCAGCAGTTATTTATTTGGGTTTTACTGGTGGTACCGAAATGATGATCTTTTGTCTCCATTGTTGATGCTTCCACCAAAGGCCATACCTCCTTTTTGGCATGCCATCTTCATGATCATGGTGAACGGTGTGTTCTAATGAAGTTGTCCTGATTAGAAATATCTTGCTCAGCATCTGGATTCTCATGTGTGAATAGTTTGAAAAGATATCATGGAGTTGACTTCTATCGCTTTGCTTTCCTTGATAGATACTTTGGTCCGTCAGGCGGCAATGGTCTGCAAATGTTTTCTTCTGATGTATTACAAGAATAGCAGGGGCCGGAACTACCGTAGGCAGGTGACAGCAGTTTAGATAGATTTATTCACCCTGTCATTTACTCAATAGGCATTATCTCTTTCTTGCTCTGTGCTAACTGCTATTTGTGTGTATAAATAGGTGAAAAAGAAGCTTTCTGATAAGTTATTTTCCATACAGGGTCAATTGTTAACTTTGGTTGAGTATCTTTTACTGCTGTATCGTGCTTTGCTCCCAGCTCCAGTTTGGTATCGTTTCTTTTTGAACAAGGAGTATGGAAGCCTCTTTTCATCATTAATGACCGGGCTGTATTTAACTTTCAAGCTCACTTCTGTTGTCGAGAAGGTATGTTTTTCCAATAAATCTCTATTTTCTTCCATGTATTTGTTGTCCTTGGGTATCTTAATGTTCTGTTTTAGAGAATGCAGCATGCTAGTCTTTCTAAATTTTAAGGGTCAACATTGTCATTGTTCTAACCTATTTTTCATTTGATCCTACCTTCATATTCTGCAGGTCCAATCCTTCTTCACAGCTTTAAAGGCGTTGTCACGTAAGGAGATTCATTATGGAGTATATGCGACTTCTGAACAGGTAATATGGTTTGTTCTTTTAATAAACAAAAATAGTAATAAGCATGTTTCCTAAGTTGCTTAAGATGGGTTTCATCTTCTTTTTTGATAAGTAAGACAATTTTCCTCTTCTACTGCTCATGGCAAAGAAGAAATATATAAGAAAAGCTCATAATGCAACATAGAACTCAATTATCCAAAGTCAGAATTTTTTGTTCTCAAACACAATAATTTCAAACTTAGAAACCTATCATCTGGTGATTTGGTTTATTTTTCTGCCTTGGAGGAATCACAGTTTGAATATCTAACTCTGATTCAAATATTAATTTATTCTATGTGGAAAAGTTCCAGATTGCTGTGTTGTTTACTGGAAAAGTTTCATTTTGAGTATATGGGGAAGAAAATCTTACTCTAGTATGGTTGTTTTTAATTAGCATATTGGGTGTTGGAGAGATTGCCTTCTGCTCCAGAATGAAATAAATGCAGTTCATCCCTTGCTCCTCGTCATTTTATTGGCAGCCATTTGCTTTATCCATGTTTTTTTTTTTTTGAGAATTTCCTTGGGGAGTATGTTGATATTTTCCCTTTAAAGGAAAAGTGATGAAGTATATACTCACTACTGCTCATAAATGCGTTACACATCCCAATGATTGCAGAAGCCATACTTTATTGCTGGTGCACACACCCATTCTATTTTATTTTTGCTGGTGCAGTCGCCCATACAAAAATATATATATATATATATATATATATATATATATTAGAAATATATATTTTTGTATTAATCGGGTGTCTGTATCTATGAAAATTGCGTGTATATGTATATGTTATTTGTGTTTGTATATCTGCATAAAATTTGAATTTGTATACAATTG